GCGGCCTGGGCGGCGGGGGCCGCGACAGCGGGAGCGGCGGCGGGAGCGGTCTCCGACATCGCTGCAGAGACTTCTTCCTAATCAAAAGAAAGTAATTGGGCTACAGTAACCCCGATGCCTGAATTTATAGCGAAGCGGTGATCTGTGATTGGTGCTTTGCAGAGCCCGCCTAACTGTTAGCCAGGAAGAGCTTTTCGTCCTCCGAGTCTGTGTTTCTTCGGAGTTATAAATTCATATTTTTTGTAAAATGCGTGCCACGAAATCACCCCCGTTTCTTCGGAGAGTGAAGAGAAGACGGTGGACTTCCATTTGGGGGAGTTTCTTGCTGTTGGGACCCCAGATGAGAGAGAAAAGATGTGTTTAACCTCGCGTTGTGAAGCCAGAGAGACCCCGGGAACGGCAAACTTTTGTTTTTCCTTCTAAATTAAAATAAAACCCGTAGATAAAAAGTCTCCCCCGTAATGCAGGCTTATTCTTTAGGGGGTTTTCTCCAGATTAGGATAGAAACCGAGGGGGCAGCTTCAGTACTTTTGTCGTAAATTGATTTCAAAGAGAAGGAAGTAACACAATTTCATGGCTGAGCTTTGAATATGGATAAAGATTCGGCTCCCTTAACCACATCTTTAACTATTAAGGACACGGTATTTCTACAGAATTTCGTGTTTTGGGAAAGTAAGAGACCTTCAGAGGAATATATATACTGTTGAAAAGCGTCTGCAACTTGCCAGGGCTCTGCATTTTTTGTGGTGTTCTGTAAGTGAATAGCAAGATTTTGATATTTTTACAAATAGTTTCTGTTTATAAAATGAAGCTGTCAATGCCTCTTTAATGCATATAAATTCCGGATAAACTGCTAGTTTAACGCTTTCTCAGTTACAGTAGTGTATACTATTATTCTTTAAGACTTACAGAAGTCAGAAGCAGACTTGTAGGGGGAAAATATCAAACAGGTATAGATAGACTAATACGTATTGGATGCTACTTAAACGTTAATGGAGCCAGCTGAAGCCTCGGTTCTCCCCAAATAAATTAAATAATGTGGAAATCTGGCCTACATAAACAGAATGCTTCAGCCTCAATATTACCTGAAATATTTGGACACAGACTGTTGGGTTTTTTTCTTTTTTTTTTCAAAGGTTTCATAAAACCTGCCATTCTCCTCTTTAAAGGGAAAGGAAAACACTTGCCAGTTTAGGTTTTCATCCAAATCCTCAGAATATTGAAATAATTTTCAGACAATCCTCATAAATCAGAATCAGCTTTAATTATTATGATCCCACTTAATTATTAAGTCTCACAAAGTGACAACAGAAATTAATTAAATTTTTTAAGGACTGCTACGAATTGTTTGGGATAATTTTTGATTAAATCAGAAGACAAAAGCCTCGATTTGCTTTTATTTAAAAAGCAGCAGATTTTTTTTCCTTGGTTGAAAAGAACAAATTAAGCCCAAACCTAATATTTTACTCCATTGTACTTTGTAAGAACTTGTCATGCAGAATGTCAGTGGGCTATTTTAGCAAAGGAGCATCTCTTCTAACACAGATGAATTTGAGATTCTAGAAGACAAGTAGTATGTTGCAAAAGGCCGTGACATTTATTTTCATACATTAAATGTTGAAGACACAATTAAGTTATACTTAATAGTAAGTAGTTTTAACTGAAATGAGATAGATTAAAATGGCAAGGATAAATGAGATACATTAGAATAACAAAAGTGAAAACAATGACCTGTCACTTTTTCGTATTCTCTTTTAGATCTATTTTTATTTTGTTGTCTGTATGCAGGCCAGCTAACAAATACTTTGCAGGAGAGAAAGAGAGGAAGGGAAAAGCAGAGAGAGGGAAAAATTAGGCTTTTCAGTACCCTTTTTTACTTTTCAGTAAAAAACAGACTGAAAGGCATGCTGAAGTTGGCTGTAAAATCTGCCTCGCTTCTCGTGAACGTGATGACGTTCCCACATAAGCAACTAGACCAAATCCACAGTAGCCATAGAGTTTGAGAGCTCAGGCTGGTAACTCAAATGAGCAGTAGGAATATTTTTCTGAGAGGTAAAAAGGTAGCAAAATGAGGGCATTATGCTTATTTCCAGGTTAAGTGGATGGAGACGGGCATAGAGCAGAATCAGACTGTAAGTGATACAAAAGACAGAGCCGGGAAGGGCTGTCAGCTATCCGGGTCTGTTTAATGTCACGCACATTCTTCTGGGAATAAGGACTGAAAGAAGCTTAATGTACCTTAATCTCTGTAGCTTTGACGATTTAGTGTTAGATCTCTACAAATCTAGTTTGTTACATTTGAAACTGGTCAGGAAGCTGGGAGCAACTGGGAGTGGGCAGTAACCGCTGGTGCAAGGGTGCAGCTGTAGCCCCAGGGGTGGGTCCTCTTCACCAGCTCCATCCCTCCTATCCACACATTTGGGCAAGTTTCCCTTCAAGCTCGCTCTTTGTAAACCTGTTCTCAGTCCACCAGGAGAGGAGAGATTTCCTTCCCCTCCCCCATAAGCAGGCTGCAGGTTAGAGATAAAGACAGGAGGTAGAAAGAGATGGGAGAAGACCTCTCAGATCTTGCTCCCTAAGTAGTGGCAGTCACTTGAACTCCATCCACAGCACATAGGGATTGCTGTCCCTACTCTGTGACAAGTTTTAAAGGGACAATATCGTCTGTGTTTTTGTAAGGAAAGCAAATGAAGAAGGTACTGATCAGAGGATTTCAAGGAGCAGATTTAGGACTTCTCCCACTTTTAGTTCTGGATGGGTCCCTGTAAATTTGCATGTCTTTTAAAGAGTTCCCTGCTCCAGGTGCTGGCTATTTTGAGTTGCACTTCTGAAGTTCTTTGCTTTTCCCTAATAGTCTGAGGCACTGGAAGACTTGGCAGCTGGCCTCCAGCATTATGTGTCAACATCCTTTATTATACCTATTCCTCAACCATCAAACTGGCCCTGTTCTGCACAGCGCATTTTTCCTGGCCTACTTCTGAGCTGTGAGAATTTTCCTGGTCTTACAAATCATTTCTGCAAAAGGAGATCTTTTTTTTAAAGAGATGGGCTTTAGAGATATGAGGTGGTGTGAAAAGAGAGACTTTCCTAGGGTTATTTCCCGCCCTGGCCCCAGCAATGACATTTCCTACTTAATTGGATAAAATCGACTTGTCAGAAGCTCTGAACAATTTTCAGGTTTGCATTGCTGGAAGTAGCTGTTAAATGCAACACTGGACCAAAATAACAAGTCTCAGTTTTTAGAGAGACCAATCACTATCTACCTTACAAATAGCATTGATATTGCCCTGGGTGTTTTACAGATAAGAGAAAAAGACAAAGCAAAGCAAGCATCCCACCACATAACTTAGCGAATCAGCGGTAGAGTATGGAACAGTTTTTCAACCTGGCAGAGAAATTTTCTTACTGCCAAGCAACATTACTTGAAAAAAAAGGTTTGAGAGTGAGCTGGTAATAAAAATTGTTTGCAGTTTCCATGTGAAGAGACAAATATTTAAATATGACTCCTTTTATACTGAATTTCAATCAAACAGCAAAGATTGACAGTTCTCCTGTTTTTCCTTTCCAAGCACCCTGTCCAAATGCAGGCTCTGTTTATCTCCTACTCAGGACCTCAAACCAATTTCTTATGCCTCCTTAAAATGTATACCCTTACTTCCCCAAAACAGAACCTCATTTCCATGCATCATCACACAACATGCCCTGGCTTCCTTCCTTGCCTAGCAGTATAGGTGCTAGTGCAGATTACAGAAGATCCTACAAAGTGCCAGTGCATTTTCCAATGCAAGGATCTTCAAAACAAAAATAGTTCACATATAACATAAGAAGTCATTCCTAAAACTGTATAGCAGAGAAAACACTTGATTTTTTTCTTATCAAGACAGAAGCTCCACATGGAGGAGAAACAGATTAGATATTAGACAAATAGAGGCAGATTAGACATTCAGACTGCAGGAGGAGAACAATCCAGATAAGCTGATTAGCCAAATTTAGCTGAAAGCCTACACTCATTTAATTACAATTACTGTTGTTAGCATGGTGAAGACCCAGAGAAATGATGAACTTTTAATTGAAGCACGCTATCTTCTTGACAAAGAATGATTTTGCAGACTTTCAAGTAATCACTCTCAATATTAATAATAAAAACACCATACCAAGATCAAAAGGCATTAGTCAAGTCTCTGGCATGCTGCAACTATATTGACAATACTGATTCAGCAATTTCAAAGTTTATATAGTAAGGAAGAGTTAAGATGTCAAAGGGCTGTTAGTGGTAAAGAAAACTGTATCCTTTTAGATATATACTTCAACCAAGCTAACAAAAATATACTGACAGGTATTTCAGTGTTAGGGCAATCACATCTCCTAAAAAAAAGTATCTTGCCTTCTAATCTAATACCTAATGCTATAGGTCCTACCCCCATGCTCAAAGAAGGGTCAGCTAGAGTAGGGAGAGGCTACAACCTCTCTGGGCAGCCTGTTCCAAAAAATTCTTTCTTATGTTTAAGTAGAATTTCCTGTGTTTCGGTTTGTGCCCATCACTGTCCTGGGCAGTACTGAGAAGGCTCTGGTTCTGTCTCCTGTATTCCCCCCATCAGGTATCTGAACACATGGATAAGACTCCTCTGAGCCTTCTCTTCTTTCGAGTGAACAGTTTCAGCTCTTTCATCCTCTCCTCATATGAGAGATGCTCCAGTCCCTTAATCATCTTTGTGGCCCTTCACTGGTCTCACTCCAGTTTCCATGTCTGTTGCACTGGGGAGCCCACAGCTGGACACAGCACTCCAGATGGGTCTCACAAGTGCTGATTGGAGGGAAACAATCATTTCCCTCAGTACTATTTTGCAAATAATACTTCTCCAGGTTAATTTGTGAAACCTATGTATAGATTAACCCTGAATGGCACTCCTGCCACTTTTGGAATTTTGGTAGTTAAATAAAGGTAGCTTCAAAAAACGTTACCTCTCACACAGTCCTTAGTGCCCAGGTTTGTCAAGGCCAGTTTGAGCTACCTTGATTTGGTTCAGTGATCATGTTGTCCATGACTGTAGGACTTGTTAAGGCTAGTTGGAGTCTCAGCAAAACTGCCACTTTAAAAAAAATCCCTACATTCTGGGGTGATCAAAAGGTGGGGAGAAGTCACTCTCCTGCCTGCCATAACTGTTAAATGTTTGCTAGCCAGTAAAAAAGAAGGGCTGTGCATTTTAATGAATCAGCCTCAAAATCTCCTTGTCTGTCCAGAAAATGACAGCCTAAAGCATCAAAATATTCCTTCCAGCTTCTGAAAGCCTGTGGATCAGAGATCCTCTTGTAGCCAAGTTTTACTTCGCTCCACCCATCTCTGGGACTGAGAATTATCAGTAGTAGTAGCAGTAGTATTAAACATCGGAATCCCAGTTATGAGCAGGATTTTGTTCTACTGAGTTATGTAGACTATAAATTTTGTATTGTTTTCAGTTGAGGAAAAAGAGGAAGCAGGTAAATATAGAAAGACAAAGAAATACTAGGGACCCTCATGCAAAAGCATGGAAATGTAATCCTACCTGTAACTCTCACTGACTGCCTGGAAAAAATTGAAATGTGGTATCTGAACCTATGTCATGTGCTGTCTATTATCCCAGGTGCACAACACAGACAAATGACAATTCTTTTTTTGTGAGTCAGTTTGCAAATACTGATTCAGTCAGAGATGGAAATTGAAACTGGGCCATCAATATAGAAAATCTACGTCCTACCCCTTCAGTGGCACTCAGGATGTACGTGTTATTAGATGCCATTTCCTAAGCTATCAAAGGTAGTTCTAGCCCTTCATGCTGAGTGAAGGGAAATAGGATGCTGTGATAATACGCAGTAGACCCAGCTCTGCACCCAGCCTATGCAGCCACTCTGTTACTCTTAAGGTATGTGAAGAATATGGGCAAGAACTAACCACATGATAAGGCATTCTGGGTTACAGATTTATGCATTGCTCAGGTTTACAGACTCAGTACACCCTGGGGAAGGACTATCTCATTGATACCGAGTTGTACTAATTACCAGCTCAGACAAATTTGAGGAAGATATGAATAAAAACAAGAATTTACAGTACTCAAAACAGACATCAGTTTGTACGACATAAGGCAAGAAATTAAAACCATGTTTAACTGTCTTGCTCCAAAATCAATTTTAGAAAGAGTCTCAGTAGAGGATGCAATGTTTCCCTAGAGTTGGCTGATATACTGCAGATTTTCTCTCTGTTTCATTTCATTTCATTTTAGAAAAATATTAGAAGTGAAACTAATGATCAGGGAAACTTGGTCTAGCACAGACCCTGCCCCCCACTCCCCCAGGGTAGAAAGTTATATTTAAATGTTTAGATTGTCAACTATGAAATCAAAATGCTGTGTCAAACAGAGTTCTGCAAGGATCAGTCCTAGGCCTGGTATAATTTTATTTATGATCTGAATTATAGTCTACATGGTGTGTATAGAAGTGGTATGGGTGCCAACAAGCAAAGAAATGCTAGAATGATGGAGGAAAGTTTATGTTTTGAAAAATGCCTGATAAATTGGAGACACTGCCTTCAAAAATGTGTAAGATACTTCACCTGGAAAGAAATATATCAGTTTTATTAATATTGGACAGTAGCAGTTGACTAGCACCTGATTACATCTGGATTTTCAAGTTATAGTTACAAGTTGACAATGAATCAACAATAGTATGTTACCAGGTATTAGGAAAGGAACACAATGACAACATCTACAAGATAGATGAAGATCTTCCTCTGTAGTCAGGAATGGTATAGTCTCACTTGGAGTTTCAGGCCTAGTTTTTAGTACTGAACTTCAGGTAACGAGAGGCAAACATTAAGAGAATACACAGAAGAGAGCAACAGTAATTATCACAGGCCTAAGAACTATTCCCTAATGGAAAGGTACATACTGTTGGAGTTCCCTGACTAAAAAAGGAGGCTGCAAAACTGAAGTTTCTTCTCAAACACTTAAAAC